TTCGTACTACTCAGGCACTGATGGGCTGATAGTGCCGGAGTGTGTGGCAGAGGGGTAAACTTTTAAAGCAGCCTCACTTCCTGTTTTCTGTATTGGAATTCTACATAAGATTTTAGTTGAGAAAGAATGATTTTTAGCTTTTTTTTTTTTTAAAAAGCCAGAAAACTTTTGCTTCACAGAAAGGAAAATATTGGCTCCAAAGAACATTAATTCTCCCAAAGGAAGGAAGAAGACAATATTCTTCTGTAAACTAGAATTTACTTTATAAGGTGGAGAAATTCTAGGATCAAGAGGTCTTCTAAAAAACACATAGGTCCAGAGGAATGTCCTATTCTTGGGAGACAGAAGTACTGAAAACATGCAAGAACAAAGAACATTTGCCTGTGGAGGCAGCGTAAGGTGAGTGACAGAGCTCATCCACACAGAAGGCATACCCCATGGTTTGGTGGCTGCCAGGTGCAATCTATCCATGCAGAAATGCTGAATTTCTCCATGCTAACTCAGTAAAGGAAATCCAAATCTAAACTCAGGCTGAATCAATGAGCTGGGGAGTTAATGGTTTTCACATTTAGTGGGAAAAGAAAATTCAGAGACAAATCATTATTCTAAACCTATTCTTATTACACAAGTGAGGTCTGTATCCTTTTCAAGCAAAGCCTGAAAAAGAGAATAAAATTTTAAAGATTCCATCTTATTTAAAAGATATTAGCAATGAATCCCCAACAATAAAAAAAAAAAGATATTAGAAGTTATTAAAATTGAAAGGTGAGGGAAAAGACTGAAGAAATGAAAAGTACAGTTAGATTTAGGTCCCGGAAACCCTTCATTCAAACAAATACTTCCCCTAGCATTGGTGACAGAGGAATAGGAATGGATTGAGATAGAGATGGGAACAGAAACAGATGAGCTAAAATGAATTTTACATGGAGAACATACCAACAGAAATAGAAAAGTCCACATTAACACAACTTCCAAACAATATATTACTTTTACTTTTTGTGAAAGTCAAATAATTTTTTCATCAAAGTATGTTACTTAAGAAAGATTAAAAAGCAAATACCTACTCTGGGCTACAGTTTAATTTTCTGAGTTCTAAATTCAAGTTAGGCACAGGAGCCCAAACAGGAGTCATAGGTAAAATATTCCTCTCCTGAGTGAGGTTTACGGGTCTCAGGCTTTCTGGCTGTGGAGAACTCTGAAGACTCAATCCTCCTAGACTAGAGGACAGCTGATTCATACCAGGATACTGCTGAAAGAGCAATTGAAAACAAAACAAAATAACAATAAAACATAAGTAAAATTTCTTATACCACTTAATAAGATTTCAACACACAGAAAAAACAAAGAGGTTAAGAAAATTTAAATCTGGCTTGTAATTTAATGACTTAATAAGGCAATCAATTCAAAGCATACTTAAAAAAAACTCAAAGCAAAAATACTGAATAAATTTAAACCTTATTAGCAAGATTAAAACTTGCAACAAAATTTCAGCAACAATACTTTTCAACATCAACAATTTGGTTTCCTTAAATACAGTTCATACTGGAAAGGAGGGATATTTGTCTTCAAGTTATTTTCAATGGTCAGTTTTCACGTGTTTATGCCATAAAAATGTATAATGGTTTTCTTTTTTTTTTTGTAGAGACAAAGTCTCACTTTATTGCTTGGTAGAATGC